TGCCAAGTTTGAGAAACACTGGAATAGAGTGAAGCTAACCTCCACAGATTCAGGCTTGCTCTTTATTTGATAGATACCTTTGGCCAACATGGTCCAGTGCACTGTTAGCTGCTGCAGTCCAATTTCTTTCATAAACTGTAATGGTGCAAATCCAGCCAGTCTCCTAAGCCAGAAATTCTGTTTTGTATATCAAAATAGGTGAATTCACATAATAATTGAAAGTGAACAACTAATACTTACTATGTTGTCATTAAGAGCTGCAATGTTCTAGCTAGAAGTTATTCTGTTTCAATTAACTATTTAGAAGTCTTTTGGCTGACATTTAATTGGGGCATGACATCTTTTTATTTTTTCCCCCTTAATTTAACCCAGCTATTCCTCTGATACAAACCTCATCACCACCGTAGACAGATACAAACAAAGCATTTAAGAGTGAAAAAGTTGGGGAGGAGGCATGTTACTCATACAGAAAAATTAGAGCAATAGACAAGGCAATGGAAAATTGACATTTGTGTTCTCAAGCTCCACCCCTCCAAAAAAGAATCTTGAACTCTACAAATATTGCAGAGCTGGATTTTTGTTACCTTTCAGTCATAACAACATGTTCTAAAGACACAGTTCAATTGATTTTACCCATATTCAGATGAAATTGATTAATAGATGGAATAATTAACATTAGGGCTACCTGATCTGGAATGCAAAATTTTGATGACCATTAAATAGCAGTAGAGAGATCCTTCTAGTAATCATCTGGATTTTTGCATCCCAGATCTGGTAGCCCTAATTAAGATAATATAAATAATTGACTAAGATTTTTAATTGGATAACATTCTTCAATTGTATATGGGAATTTCTGTTCCATCACACAACAACTGCAGAATCCTTCCTGGAAATATGTATGTATCATCTATTTAAAACAGCTGGGTGAAAAAGAAATTTGGGATGAGTATATTTATGATGTACAGCTCAGCTTTTCAAGAGATACAGATGAGACAGTAGGAATAATCACAAGATGCATAAAAGTTTGGATAGCACAATCCTACATAATCCCTAATGACTATGATACAGTTTATTTCTGAAGAGGATTACTTTTATGAGCACTTTTTTGATTAACAGATCAGTGAAGAAATTCATAGCCAAATCCTATGCATGGTTGTTCAGTTATAAATCCTACTCCTATGATCTGTTAAATAACTGCTACAGGGCTGCAGCATTTATAACTTGTACCTTCAGATCAATTTAATTCTGAGTAAATATATTTAATATTAGAGTCTAAATTGTCAGCTTTGGATATTACTGTTCACAGTAATGGTAACTCCTACACATAGGTATGGTAAGGAATCTGTGGCTCCCCAGTTGTTGTTAAACTACAATTTTGAGTATTTTTTACTGTTGGTCATGCTATATTTTAGGCTGGGATTTATAACTGAGTAACATCTGAAGAGCTATAAGTTTCCCACCCTGCATACAGAATCATTTTATCATAATACAGTGATTTTCTATCATATGTAGTACAACGGCTAAGGTTTTGGGCTAGGACCAGGAGAATCAAGGTTTAGATCTGCACTTAGTTATGAAGCTCATTGGATAACTTCAGGCCAATTACTCTCAGCACAATTTACTTCAGAAAGATGTAGAGGTAAAATTAAGGGATAAGCCTATGTAAATATGACAAGAAAATAAAAGAGAGCATTTTATTTTTATTATCTAGTTACTGTATAACTTTCCCAAACTGCCCAATGTTTATTTACCTGAGATTGATTTTATTGATATGAACCATTTTGTAGGAGATACAAACTTTTGTTCAAAAAGCCAAGTCAATCATTCTTCCCAATGAGATAGCATGTGCAGAAATATACAGTATGTGCAACAGATTTCAGTGAAAAGTTGAATTTAAAAAATAAAGGTACAGTATATAAAAGTAACAAAAAATGGTTACCTGCTCAAAGATTTGTACTCCAGAAGCCAGTGTCCTAAACATGGTAATGCAATTACTGAAATTATAGAAAGTTTTTTCATGTAAACAGTATAAAGAACATAATGCGGAGAATTCAGAAATTTTATATTTCTTCAGTATTATTGAATATAAGAGCTGCAATTCTAGATATAGTCTAACTATCTAAGGAAAACATATAGATGATTTGGATATGTTTAATACTGTAATAATACTAACCTTCAAGAATGGTTGCTGCGTATTAAAAGTTTTGCTCTTTGAACTTACTCCCTGTGTTGCACTTGTTTCATAGCTGTTATTACGGCAAAGACTTTGGACCAACTGTCTATTATGTCTCTATCAGGAAGTGTGTCCTAACTGATTCCTTCCCAAGGAAATTGTCAAGGCCCTTCATTTAAATGTGCTAATTGTGCACAGGGACTTAAAAAGAAATACTGTGATCAACTTGACCTGAAGTGGAAGATTTGATTACCCTTTTTATAGCTATTAGCAAAACAAGGAGTGTTCACATAGTAGATTTTGGGAGTGCCACCTTGAATCTGAACAAATATATAGTATAGTTATAAAATTCAACTGCTGCAGTATTTTCACACTAGTTACTGTATCCAGATTAACTAAGCTTTTAAAAAAGTTTTGTAGTTTTTTTCCAAAGCACTGTGTAGGTCCAAACTCTCCTGTGTGTGTCAGTATTATTCCAAATCATATTTCAGGTTATTAAATTTCAGGTTCATTTTTTAACATACTGATTTCAATTGGTTGGAGCCCATATGGTTGTGGTTCTGACTACTGTATTGTAGATTGTTGGGGGGTTTTTAGTTTTGGCTGTTGTTATGGGTTATTTATGCTGTTTTGATGTTCTTTTGAATTGTGGATTATGTTTTTATACATTGTTAGCTGCCTAGAGTTGCTAGGGTGAGATTGGTGGCTATATAAATCAAATAAACAAACAAACATATTATTTAATCTTGAGAACAATACAGAATTTATAATTTGAACTATTCTGCCTAAAGCAGCATTAAACAGCTCTTTAATAGGCAGCCAAAGGCCATGTACAATTATATAACATGTAACATTTCTAGGTGGCAATCCATTCCCTGCTATTTTGCTAAGTGTATATCAGCAGGCATTGTGCTACACTGGAGAGGAACAGTTGACTAGAGAAACATACATAGAAAAAGGCATAGTGATAGTTGTGAATGATTACATCAATGCTGTGCTAGTGAATAAGCCCCTTTCTCTTAAATTTAGCATTGAATTATTATGATTTCTATTTTTAATGTAAATGGCAAAAGCACTTACAATATGCAATTCTCAATTCAATAATACTTCAAAGCTAATAGGTAGGATTTGTGATTGACTTTACAAAACCAGAAGTATTTACCAAATTAACAACAAATAAATTCTAAAGGATTCAGAAGTGACTACTGTAATCAGGGTCACAGATTAGTCATGTGTACAAATCATTTAAATGTCTAATCCCTATCTGCACAGAGTACAGTTCACTGGAATAATTTCTGAGCTCATTAACTTTGTTATTATTGTGAAGATAATTGGTGGATGAGGCCAAAATGAGGTGTTTATAATTGCCATGGAAAACAACTAGCCTTTTCTGTTTTCCATTAGTTTTAATGTGAAAACCAAATTAGCATGCCATTTATAGGTTTGTTTAATTATGTTTTTAAAGAAAACTCTGATAATTAATTTTTAAAATGGCTATAATTATTGCTGTGGAGGTAATAGAGTCTTTTTCTCATAGACAAGACTTTTTGTTTCATACCCTGGTAATTAAATGCTTTGGGGGGTTTTCTAGAAGAGAATAGGAAGAATATTAGGAAAAAAATCATACTTACCTAAGACTTTAAAGGAGTTTCTAAAAAGATACAGTTTTTTAAAATTTCTGTAATAAAAGAAAGTAGAGCTTTGTTCATCTTTCTTCTATTTCATCATTTTCCTTCACCAAAAGACATATATTCATGAGAAGTCAAGAATGCGTCTGTATCTGCATAGACCATTAGAAATCTTTTAACACACCTTAATCATGTGGGAAAGTTCAAAGAATGAACATCTTCTAATAACTATATGGAACAAGGACATGTGAATGAATGCATTATCTATTGGAACTAAAGTACTTTGTGGCAGGTTAGCCATATCACTGGGTTTGACCCAGAGACTGAATTTTAGCCTCTTAACAGTATATCTAGGATGAACAACTGACAAGTGTAGGGCAGGAGGTTGCATGCTGGAACAGGAGAGAGGTTTGCACTGCATCAGGCAATCCACAGCATTGACTGAACAAGTATTGGAGAAGTTGCATAGTGCAATGCTGTTGCTATCCCACTATAGCAGTGTTGTCCAAACTTGGCCACTTTAAGATGAGTGGACTTCAACCCCCACTCATCTTAAAGTGGCCAAGTTTGGACAACACTGCACTATAGCATACAACCGACCATACCAGCTGACTGATGCTGGATGCAGTGAGGGGAAGAGTCCTGCTTCACTCCTTCCATTTGTGCAATGCAGTAGATGTTGCTTTCACACTATACAGCTGACAGATATATGCAGGGTAAGGTTGCTCTCTGTTGTATCACACAATTCCCAGTGTATCTGTGAGGTCATTTTAGTGCTTCTTTAAAAGAGTAATCATATTGAAAATGGGGTTTAGAGGTCATTTTAGTGTCCTAAAAGAATGATAACCCATGCTGAAAACGTGACCCATTCTTCTGAAAAAGCAATAAACTTTATTTTAAAATAGCTTGCCTAAACGTCTTCCTTCAATTGCACCTTGCAAGCCCTCTACCACTGCCTGTCAGTTATTAGTCATGCTAATCTCTCAAAGTCAAATAAATATGTATTTTAATTGTAGAAAACCTTTACAGTGGAGTAGTACTCTATAAAGGTTTTTAATTAAATTAGAGAGGAAAAGGCATCCTTAACAATGAATTACACTTTTAAAAGGTTAACAGATAATGCATAACTTAACCAAAATAAATTTGATTTTATTTTGGAATGTCACATCATGGTTTTTAAATTAAATCATGATGTATTCATAACATCTTAAATGTATTAAAATTAACAATTTTGTTTCATTTTATTATGCTAAACTAATCAACAAAAGACAGTTACGAATGCACACTATAAGAAATCAGCACAAAACTAATAAGCATACTATTGCCATTAAAAGGGTAGGAGTGGGGGAGCTCTGAAAATTATATTATAAGCTCTGGAAATTATGTTATAAACAGAACAGCTCCAAAAACCTTGGCTATATTGCTGAAAAGTCTTCCTTGCCATATGTTGGAAAAAGGCTAGCTGAAATGTTGACAAACAACACAAACATCAAAACCTAATTATAATCTTTTTTTAAAATATCACAGATACTAAGCCTTGATTTAAAAACAATGGAATGCAAAATGGGAAGTACTATATTGTAGAATTTTTTATTTAAACAAATCACTGGAAAACTTTCAGTTTGGTTCTGAAGAAAATGCTCAACAAAATAGTTCATTATCAGTGATGCTTTGTGAAAAGAATTCATAGTTTAAAAATATTCCATCCATCTCTCTTCCTCTTAGGAAAAGAAATAATGATTACTTTAGTGACCATTCATAGTTATGACAAATTCTCATAGTAATTGTATTGTCTAACATGTTTCAACAATCACATTATCAAAAATTATTAAGGTACATTTAGAATACAAATCTGTTGGAAATCCCAGGAAAGCAAACCTGATGATGGACATTTCTTATAACCTCAGCAATCTACTTTTATGGAATTTCTCCTGGCAATATCCATTTGCTTTTGGCTGAAAACTAGATTCAAATTTAAACACCATTTGATTCCACTTTTCCTTGGAAATATTTGGCCAGTATCAGAAATGGCCCCCAGCTTAGAATGGGCCCATACTTTGAATCAGTAAGGCTTGTTGTTTGTATGTTTGTGCTAAGTAGTTAAAGCCAACCAAATATGTTGTAGACTACATTAATTGGCATGGATGGAGGCTATCCTCTAAATGCAAACTACAATTTGTGGAGGACAGATTGAACTATGGGAAGGGCAAAGGGTAAAATTTCTCCTCTCAATCTTGCATCCCTAATACATTCACTGAGATGTTTGCTCAGTCCCTTCCCCTTCCATGAATTTTCAATTGCATTCATACAATTCATGTTACATCTAATTTTGATTCTGAGTCAGAAAATGCACAATTCATATATTAGATTTAATTGTAGCTCTCCTTCACAGAATTTGGGTAGTAATGTAAACACCTGCAAGTAATCAAATAATTATATTTACACCATTTTTAAGTAGGAAAAATCTTACATTTAGCTCATGCCATATTTTATAAGATAGATTATACAGATTTAGAGCAGCAGAAGCAAACCTTTTCATGGAATATCATTTTAAAAATAGAAAACTATCTTAATAAAAATGATTTTTTTCAGAATGTACGTGTAATTTATGACTTATCAAAAATGGAAGAGAAGAAGATTGGCAAACAGAGTGGCATTTAATTAATCACTTTGCATGCCTTGCACATGTGAAATCAGGATATCCCAATTCATCAAAAAGGCAAAACAGAGGCAATAAATACAGGGATTAGTAATGGGCAGAGCAGATTTTATGCTGATACAGATTTGCTGACTCAAGGATGGATGGATAGCAAATTACCTCAGCAGTGGGAAAACGCTCCAGATCTGGGAGAAAGAGCATGATGTTCAGACTCAGGTTATTGATGTCAGTTGTTCAGGGTGAGTTTTTTCAGAACAGGGTTTTGCTGAAGGAGCACACATTGACAAACATGGCGATCCCCAGAAATTTGTAACAAATAGTAGGAACTGCCAATTTCATGAAACCTCTTTGCTTTAGTTAAGAATTAGTTCCAGACCCCAACACTTCCACAATCACTTTCTTTTTTTTGGTTCCATGATGATTTATCTGAACCTGGAACAAAGTTGTTCCTATCTTTTTCATTGCTGTAGCTCTGCAGAATTTGTGAACTTCTCCTGCCTCTATCTTTTGGCTCTGAGCATCTGTATCCTATTCTGGTTCCTATATTGTTTAGAAGATATCTCCCCCTTTCAGCCTGCTCCAGCTGTCATAGTCGCATACAATCATGGTTAGAAATACTGGGAAAAGCACCAGGTTCCAAAAATCCTAGCACAATACCCTTTCATCTTCACAGCTTGTAAGCGATTTTAAATGCAGGAGGAAAGAGAGTTCTGTAGCTCAAAAGCTGCCCCTCATAGCAAAAGCTCATTTGTTTGTTTGTTTGTTTTTGTAGATGACTAGACAAATGTATGAAATGTGAAC